CGTGTGTGTGTGCGTGTGTGTGTGTGTGTGTGTGCGCGCATGTGTGAGTGTCAACATTCCAAGTTGTTTGACACATCAGCTGGAGGGAGCTGTGGACTTAATAGGCTATTACACACTTTAATACCCTCCACTACACACACACACACACACGCACGCTGCAGCCTGTTGTAGGCGGATGGATATCTAGTACATACACCACACAAACACGTTTAGAAACACACACACACGCACACACGCAGCAGTCGGTCTATTAAACTCGCTAACGCCTCCAGCTTGGACGACTCGGCGGCGAGTTCACTAATTCGTGAGATCCGTGACGGACGCAACCGGAGAGGATGAGCAGGAGTGCGCGCGCGTTTGCGCGAGTGGGGAAGATTTAGGCCGAGGAGGCAAAAAATAACGAGCGTTGTTCAGCACTTGCAAGCTTTTTTGCAATCGACTTCCTCACCTCAAGACCACGGCGCTGGCGTATCGTATTTTTATTTTTCCGCGATCGCTTTTTTTGCATCTGCGGTTAGCTTTAGCCGGTCGGCTAACATCACCGCAGCGCAGCGCTTGCTTCACTTCCATGTCTCCAATTAAACAAAAAAAAAGAGATTCTTCTTTCCGCAGGCCGTCATATAAACAACGAGGTCATCTCTAGTCCACGTCTTCCTCTGCTAAACTTGTACAGTAATGAAGAGGAGTTGTCTTTTTTTTTTTTTTTTCTTAAAGTTAAAAAAACAAGGAAGAGGTTGACAAGGTCTGGAGGAGAGCAAAGCTCGGCAAAAGAGTTCTGCTTGTTAACGACTGAACGCACTTGTGGCTTTTCGCCCTCCAACTCGACTCCACAACAGCAGCTGACTCGCATTTTCACCACCATAAGGTGGGCACACTTAAAAGTCTTGCGTTTTCCCCAAAGTGGACGGGGCGCCTCTTAGCGCATATGCGCCGAGTTCCAAAATCTGCGAATGCTGTTGCGTGTGACTCCGCTTGACCGACTCACGCGGTGCCGACACGCCGCTCGTGTAGAGGAAAGGCGGGCGGCCGTCACTGAGGCCCGCGCGGAGATGTTAAAGTGTGAAAGAGGAAGCGAAAGGCACGCCGCCCTCCAATAGGCCTTTCTAGTATCTAGTACGTGCATTGCGCAAAGCACCATCCCCAAAGTGGCGCCTCCAAAGAGATGCGCTTACGAAGCGCAGTTTAAGCCGCAGCCGATCGGTTACGCGGCAATACCGCGGCGAGAGAATTCAAGATCGACTCATCCACGGGGCCCGCTGCTTTCCTTATATGAAACGGCGCCATCTAGCCATCCGGGCAATAGCGACCGCGGCGCGGCGACATCCGGCGGATTACGAGGAAAAGCTTCGGCTCCTATTGCAGCAAAAGGCGTCGTGTTCTGCGTGACGCTTTCTTGGAGATTTTTCGGGACATTCTTCTTGTCCTCCATGTTTTGTGAGCTCACAGCTCGCAGCGCGTGCTGTTCATTGGATTGCACAAGTATTCTTGTTGGCCAGTCTTCCAAATACTTGAAATAGTGCACAGTAGGATCGTGCTCCAGGCACATTTGAATATTGCGCGGACAACCCTTGAATTGAATCGAGTCAAATTGCTTTCCATGAGCTTCAGGAATCAAACACAATCTTAATTCGGAAAAAAAAAAAAAAATGAAGACATTGAATGCACATTTCCAATCCAAACTTCTTTTCTGGAGTTCGAGTAGCCAGTTAGCGGACCTTTGCCCAACTTGAAAAATTTACCAGTCGCGGCTGAGAGGAGCAACATCAAAGTTTGTTTGTCCTAAAAACTAAGTCTTGACTCTCAAAGTGAACTGGTGCACTATTGAAAACTCTGAATGCAGTCGAACTAGTTGATGGAAGACATGCACGCGCACGCGCACACACAACGCGCCCGTTCAAACCTGTGGACTGTGTCCAGCTCTTCTGCTGTTTTGGAGCCAGCACCTCCTGCCAAGTGGGCCCAATTAGAGGCTCCCCCTCCCCCTCCCCCTCCCCGGGCTAGAGAGGAGCCGAGCCGACCCTCCGCCCCTCCGCCCTCGCGGCCCCCCTTGCAGGCTTCCCCACGCAGGTCGCCGCGGTGTTATGACAGTTTCTGACACCGGCCCCCGCGCAATTAGCAGCCGGCGGCGCGGCGACACGGCAGCGGGCTAATGGGGCGGGCCGGCTGGGATGGATGGAGGCAATGACGGCCGCGAGGGACGGAGAGAATCAAGTTATGATGAGTCCACAAATACGCGAGTCCCCGGAGAGTCAAGCATACGTTCGACATCCCGCGGAAAAGCGTGTCGTTGACTCATTGGCTGCCGTCAGTTCCATCAAATATTGGGACGTGGACACAAATTGTCGGGGGCTTGCCTCTAAACGCCACCACAACGTATTTGGAATGAGTCGAGCATGATGTGCTTTACTCAAATCAACTCATGATGTAAAAAGTAGACACAAGTCAAGACAGTGAAAAGGAGAAATGAAGAACATGAAAACACCACGAAACACGAAAAACAAGCTCGAGTCTCATTGCGATGTCAAAAGCCTCATTTCAGGCAAATTTCAAAACTGGTCAGTGAGGGAGCTTGCCGAACACTTTTTATTTACATCCTAATTAGGTGAAGGCTGGGGGAATCTTTATTGATTGATTGATTGATTTGCTGATTCACCAAAACTTTGAGGTTCCTCTGAACACAAGTTCAAACCTTTGGGCACCAGTTTTATCGATCTGCACAACATTTTGGTTTGGCGCGTCTCTCGTGACCGGGCGCCCCAAAAAAAGGCAATCGAAGGCATGAAGTAAAACAACCGTGAAGTCTTCCATTTTGGTTATTTGTCAGTGCATTTGTAATGCGCCGGGTGTCGGAAATGAGTTTGTTTGCGAAACAGAGCACGCGGCAGACGTTGCGGGCGGCTGCGCCACGCAGCCGGTTGGCTGCCGCGCGTTCGTGGGTCGGCTTAACTTTAGGCGTGTTGTATTTTGTCCTCGGTGTTATCTGACCCCACAGACGATCGCACCAGAGTGCGACTGCAGCCGCTCGACGGAGAGCCCCACTCCGACTACATCAACGCCAACTTCATTGACGTGAGTTCGCCTTCGCTCGCCGGTCCCACCGCACGTTTTGCCCGCTTGAAAATTCAGACCCCGAAGTTGCTTTGACTGAGTGACGTCAAATTTGGTCTGCAAATCCATTGTGAGTGGACCCACAAAAAAATAAAATAAAATCGTAGAAACCACACCCTAAAAGACATACGTCTGTCATTTTATATGATGCGCACATTTGAGGTGTATTTTGGAGAGTATTTTGAAATAATTCAGCCCCCAAGTCCAATTTGACTTTGCAACATGGAATTTGGTAGGCTTGTCTATCATGAGTAGAGCCACACAAAACTCATAGAAGCAATGTCTGAAAAGAAACTGGAAGTCTATTTTTTTTTGAAGTGGACATTTTAGGTGGCAGTTTTGGGGAGAAGATTTTTAAATAAGTCAGCTCCAAATTCACTTTGACGGCGAATTTGGTAAGACCAACAAAAATTTCTGAATAAGCCATGCCTAAAAATACACATCTTTCCTTGCCCGTGAATTTTTTTTTGGGGGGGGTAGAATTCTGCCCACTGCAGGCCCACTAAAACCTCTTAGGACGTCATGCTTGAAAACAAGCAAATCGGCTATGATGGTTTCACGTGTACATTTTAGGTGTCATTTCTTGGGATTGATTTTACCACCCTGGAATTTTTCTGAAAATTTCAGATCATGAAGCCAGGATGATTTTTTTCGAGTAATTTCTCCTTCTCGAGATTTTCTTGAATTTATTTTGAAATTCAACGGCAAAGCCATTTTGATTTGTCATCCAAAATTTGCTCGGCATGTCCGTCATAAGTAGACTGATAAAAATGTGGAGAAGCCACGTCAGCAAGACGAAGGAAATCTGCCCGTTTGATTTGATGTGACCATTGTCGTGTCCTCCCAAGATGAGCTTTTGCAAAATTTTTCACAATCAGTTTGAAAATGGCTGCATTTCTACTTGACAGATGAACGACGGCAAATTTCAAATGCGCTCACTTTTCACCACTGACTGTAACGTAAGAGGCATGCCAACATGTTTAATGAGATCAGGAGGAAGGTGACGAGGGGGGGGAAAGGATATGAGGAGGACATCCGAGGTAACAAACAAATGCGCTCTTCTTGGAAATGAGAAAATTAAAACGCTAAACAATACAGCCCCCCCCCCCCCACCCAAGCACACGGTGATAATAAAAGCCTTCTCAGAGCGTGTTTTTAATGAAAATGTGAAAGTGATAAATGTTTTCATCTCTGACGTGAGTACGAGGAGGGCGAGGACGAGGGTCAGCCGGCATGTGCTCGTCACTCCCGCGTGTCCCGTGGAGGGAAGATGAGGCCCCCCCCGCCCGCCGGCCCCCAAGCCTCCCCCAGGACTCCCGCTATTATTTAATAGGATATTTATGCATGAATACAACCTTGACTTGTGCAGCTGGGAGGCGGAAGATGGCTTGAAGATAATTAAGAGAGGTAATAGAGATGCGGGAAGGACGTCCGCTTTAAATATGACAACAATTCATTTCACTTTGGATGTCGGTGAACTCGCTTTGGGTAAGCGAGCGCCTGCACGCTCTCCTGTCATAAAAGAAGCCGTTATTAATGGGAACTATATTGCGAACAGGGAACGCGGGGGTCGTTAAAGCCAGTCATGACGTATATGCTTTTGTTGTTGTTGTTGTTGAATCAAACTGATATGGAATATTTGGACCAATCTCCTGTGGTGAAAGAAGTGAGAATGGAAATGGGGAACATTTTGAATTCATGTTGAAAATGATTAGAATGATTTTTTTTTAGCCTTGTGTTTGTGATGATTAATAGAAGTCACAATTCACATTTCCATAATTTGTAAAGTAAAAAAAAAAAAAAAATCGCCAATAAGAATTTGCCATGAAAAACTGTCATTTATTTAAATCACAGTCGTCAAACTCAACGTCTGGGGCCCAAATGTGGCCCACCACCTCATTTTGTCTGGCCCGCCAAAGCGAATTATGAGCATCTACTTCATGGTTCTTGCTTTAAAAAAAAAAAAAAAAATCGCCAATAAGAATTTGCCATGAAAAACTGTCATTTATTTAAATCACAGTCGTCAAACTCAACCCCCGGGGCCCAAATGTGGCCCCCCCCCTCATTTTGTCTGGCCCGCCAAAGCGAATTATGAGCATCTACTTCATGGTTCTTGCTTTAAAAAAAAAAAAAAATCGCCAATAAGAATTTGCCATGAAAAACTGTCATTTATTTAAATCACAGTCGTCAAACTCAACCCCCGGGGCCCAAATGTGGCCCCCCCCCTCATTTTGTCTGGCCCGCCAAAGCGAATTATGAGCATCTACTTCATGGTTCTTGCTTTAAAAAAAAAAAAAAATCGCCAATAAGAATTTGCCATGAAAAACTGTCATTTATTTAAATCACAGTCGTCAAACTCAACCCCCGGGGCCCAAATGTGGCCCCCCCCCTCATTTTGTCTGGCCCGCCAAAGCGAATTATGAGCATCTACTTCATGGTTCTTGCTTTAAAAAAAAAAAAAAATCGCCAATAAGAATTTGCCATGAAAAACTGTCATTTATTTAAATCACAGTCGTCAAACTCAACCCCCGGGGCCCAAATGTGGCCCCCCCCCTCATTTTGTCTGGCCCGCCAAAGCGAATTATGAGCATCTACTTCATGGTTCTTGCTTTAAAAAAAAAAAAAAATCGCCAATAAGAATTTGCCATGAAAAACTGTCATTTATTTAAATCACAGTCGTCAAACTCAACCCCCGGGGCCCAAATGTGGCCCCCCCCCTCATTTTGTCTGGCCCGCCAAAGCGAATTATGAGCATCTACTTCATGGTTCTTGCTTTAAAAAAAAAAAAAAATCGCCAATAAGAATTTGCCATGAAAAACTGTCATTTATTTAAATCACAGTCGTCAAACTCAACCCCCGGGGCCCAAATGTGGCCCCCCCCCTCATTTTGTCTGGCCCGCCAAAGCGAATTATGAGCATCTACTTCATGGTTCTTGCTTTAAAAAAAAAAAAAAATCGCCAATAAGAATTTGCCATGAAAAACTGTCATTTATTTAAATCACAGTCGTCAAACTCAACCCCCGGGGCCCAAATGTGGCCCCCCCCCTCATTTTGTCTGGCCCGCCAAAGCGAATTATGAGCATCTACTTCATGGTTCTTGCTTTAAAAAAAAAGAATTGCAGATTGTCTTCACTGTTCCAAATGTTGAGATATAGCAAGCATGTTTTTTTCGGCACAAAAACATAGCACATATATGCGGTTAGGCGAACGTACAACGTACAAACGACGACCGCAGCCCTTTTGAATGTCTTTGAAGCATTTTTGTTGTGTGTCCCTCAGGGCTACCACCGGCCCAGACATTACATCGCCACGCAAGGTAAGTCCACCCAAAGGACACCATTCGTGTGTGTGTGTGTGTGTGTGTGTGTGTGTGTGTGTGTGTGTGCATGCGCGTGCGCTCGTCGGCGGTACTTTTGGGCAGGATGCTATTACCTCAACCTCCTAAATTTAAACCGGCTGATTAAAAAAAAAAGAAGAAAAAAAATCCCCTGGACAAATTGAAGAGCCTATTACCTCAAAGTCCCAAACTGCACTCAGTTGTTGAGAGCGTGAGCGGGTTTGACTGTGTGTGCGCATTTTTGTGTGCGTGTGAGAGTGTGTTTTGGAGTGTGTTGGTGTGTCATGCCATGAACATGAACATGAACATGGGTGTGTTTGATGTGCACGTAAATGTATTGCGTTGGTGCGTGCGCGCGCGTCAGGTCCCATGCAGGAGACGGTGAGGGATTTCTGGAGGATGGTGTGGCAGGAGAACTCGGCCTCTATCGTCATGGTGACCAACCTGGTGGAGGTGGGCAGGGTGAGTGGCCAAATGCTCATGCTAATGCTAACTCCATAAATGCGTCATAAAATGAAAAGTCAGCGGTTGTTCGATTTCAATGTGAACTTTTTTTTTTTTTACATTGTTGACTAAATGAACAACCTGTCTGAATCCCTCGTTTGAAACCCTCATCTGTAACTCTCAAGACAGTCCTGAAAACCAAAAGCCAGGCTTGAAAGCCGAACATTTAATGCCCTAACCTCTGCACGAAACCCCAAACAGGGCTTGAAGCCTTCATTCGAAACCCGAATCCAGTCCTGGAAAACCCAAACTCTGTCTCGAAAGCCTGATTTGAAATCCTCAACCGGTTTTGAGACTTAACTTGACAGCATAACCTTCATGAACTCTGTTGTTGATTTTGAAGCTAGCTCAGCCTGTCTGGAAACACAAATTGGGAGCCTTACCCTTTGCACGAAAGGCTCATTTGAAGGTGTTCTCACCGGCGGCGTGTGCTCGTTCAGGTCAAGTGCGTCCGCTACTGGCCCGACGAGACGGACGTTTACGGCGACGTCAAAGTCACCCTGGTGGAGACGGAACCGCTGGCCGAGTACGTCATCCGCACGTTCACCGTGCAGAAGGTGAGCGACGCCTTCCCGCGAGGTTTTTTCCTCCGTTCACTTCGACTTCGGCCATTGAAGAAGCCTCGTTCGCACCGTTGGCTCATTTCACAACGACGCTAATCGCGACTACTTCCGCGTGTGTTTTTGTACTCGTGCGCGTATGTCGGTGCGTTTGTGTGCCGCGTGCGGCGAATGGATTTGCCGCGACGCAACAAAAGACGGCGAGGAGCCGTGAAGCGGGGCAAGTTGGTCACCTGCTTCAGTCTTTTCATTGCAGCACAGGCGCCCCGTTCATTGAAAGCTAATCCGCCGGGAGATTAAGGAACATCACAACGCGGCAGAGTGAGACTTTGCTCGGCAAAGCGACGCGGGGGGGTGTGGTGGGGTGGGGTGGGGGACATGTTTGCAAATGACACGCCGCGGTTGTTGACAAGGTCAAGAAGGCAAAACGCTTGCCTGCCGTCAGCGGGGAAAGAACGTCAACGGACTTGGTTGAGTGAAGAAATGCGCCGATGTCTTAGTCCACAAGGAAGAACGGCGTTGCTGTATTCAGACATTACTGGAAGGAAATTCATGCCAGCTTGTTTCTTAGTTCGCTAGTTCGTGACACAAGTTAGATCGTTTGCTTGGTCGTAAGTTAGTTCTTTTGTCACATTTGATTGGTTGGTTTGTGGGCGGGGTCGGTTGGTCGGTGAGTCGCTAGTTACTGCTTGGATGTTTTCCCGGTCGGTGAGCGAGCTGGCTCGTTTGTTTGTCAGACAGTCGTCTCGTTTCGGAGCTGGCTACGGAAGCCGTGACTGAGTTGGCTCCTTAGTCATTTGTTCACATACTTATTAGTTATTATTTCTTAGTTGTGAAATGAATATCGTCGCAGTCATCTTCCTTCCATTTGAATAGCTGCATATTTTGCGAGCAAGGTACGCTGAAAAATGTGTGAAGCTAACATATGTGATTTGAATATTTGTGAGGAAAAGAGTAGAAAGCGACGTGAGTTGACCACAGGTTCATTGTGTGCCACCAAAAGTCAAGTACTTTTCCTTGTCCGGCTTCGGGAGTTGAATCGCGAGTGATGGAAGAAGTGAAACGATAGCAAAATGTTGACGGACGGTTTAGTGTTTTCCGTCAACAAGTCCAGGCCACCGTTTACATTTTGACTCGAGCGATATTCTTCCTCGGAGCCGGCGTTTTTATTTGATATCCCTTGGACGGACATCATCGCCATCCTCGCCTGGAGTGCCCTGGGGACGAGCCGCGGATTTTGTGAGGAGACGTCTTCGAGAGGAAGAGCGAGTCGCCATCGTGACTTTTTTTTTCCCCCTCTGCCGGTGGATCCATAGCAATGCGCGCCTCCCTCCTCAATAATTCACCGGGATCGATTCCACCCGCGGAGCCGTAGACCGAGCGGGTCCTCGAAGGAGAGGGTCTCCTCGTCCTTCTCCCTTCAGGGTCTCTCAGGTCATCGTAGCCCCCGCACTCCTACACCCTCCGCTCCGAGCTCAGGTGGGGAGGATAAAGGGATGACCGGGCACACTCCCACAGAGGACAAATACAAGGTTACGAGCATGCCGGTGGAAATCTTCGAGAGAATTCCCGCACGGGAACACCGAAGGACACGGACGGCTCCGCCGCATCCATTTCGTTGGATTTGCTTCCAATGAGATGAGGTCGCAATTGACTCGACATCGGTGCCTTGAGAAACAAGTAACTGTACCGTACAAGCTTTTCAAGACATGAGTCGTCGTTTGGCTGATTTTTCAAAAAATATCTTTCCCACCTTGGATCTAAGGAGGGGATAAAAGACATTTAAGATGGGCCACCTGTATAGGGCAGTGGAAAGGACACAACGCGTATTTATAGCAACCATTTGCCGTAGTGAAATCTAGCGATCTGAACAGCAGAAGAGATATTTGAACGTAAACGGTGGAGTAACACCTCGACCGTCAAAACAATCCTCACAAGCATATATTCTTTATCCTCTGCGAAAGACGACTCATATTGCCGTTGCATTAAACTTCCTGGAGTTTGATCAATAACAGTGAAAGACACTTCTAATCCCAAATAAAGCAATGCGGCCTTTCTTTTCTCTGCATACGTGTCTCCCTTAAACATCCGCCCATTATCCGAAGCGCTTAACTTCACGAGGGTCGCAGGCTGGTCTTTGTTCAATCATCGGAAGGGTAAAGACACGCGATAGCTGCGACAAATTGTCATCGTGCTGCCTGCTATCGTATGAATGCAAAATAGCTGCTCGGTCGCAGATCCCTCCGGTGCATTGCAACAGCATCATAAGGCTCCCTCCCTTCAGTGGCCGTAACAATAAAGACAGCTCCAATGGCAAAGGGCAACCGTTCTGAGAAAATGAAAATGCCGTCGGTTAATAAATAAATTCCAGTCGATGAGCGTCACGCCGCACGATGGCCGACCGGTTAGCACGTCCGCCTCACGGTGCAGACGTGCGGGGTTCGATTGTGGCTCCGGGCTTCCTGTCTGGAGTTTGGACCCTGCGATCTCCCCCGTGCCCGCGTGGGTTTTCTCCGGGTACTCCGCTTTCCTCCCACGTTGGACAAACATGCACGGCAGAACGCTAAAAATTCTCCCACGGTGTGATTGCGAGCGCAAATGGTCGGTTGTCTACGTGTGCCCTGCGACGGGCTGGCAACCTGTTCAGGGTGTCCCCCGCCTACTGCCCCAAGACAGCTGGCGTAGCCCCCCGGCACATCCTTTCGTGAGGATAAGCGGATCAGAAAATGGATGGACGGATGAACGAACGCGATGGTCCGCAACGGTGACCAAATAAGGAATGCCAGCTTTTGTCGTCTCTTTGGATGCTTCATTCTCCGATTCGTAGTCTATCTCCAGGTATGAATTTTTTTTTCCTTGCAGAAGGGTCACCACGAGCTGCGAGAGCTGCGCCAGTTCCACTTCACCAGCTGGCCCGACCACGGCGTTCCTTGCTATGCCACCGGGCTGCTGGGCTTCATACGCCAGGTCAAGTTCCTCAACCCGCCGGACGCCGGGCCCATTGTGGCGCACTGCAGGTACGACCGCACGCACGCGCGGGACGCAGGACGGTGCGCAAAGTCCACTGACGAACGCGAGAGCTGCTGTCAAGCGCATCCTAAACGGATCCGCCTCGTGACCACAAACAATCGTTTGTTGGGCAACATCAATAGTTGTCTTTGTATTTTATTCCTTGCGAGGGAGTGTTGACATTTTCCAGAATGCGGCACAAACGATCCGACCAAGCCGGCGGCTTCCATCACACTGGCGCCCGCCTCTTGATCACAAACATACGGCCGCTACACTTTGTTTCCTGCGTTGCGTGTCTGCTCTGTACAATGTCTCCCCCTTCCTTGGCGGCGATAGACGGGAAAGACTACTCCGGCCGGGTGTTTCCCAGTCAACAATTGTACCTTTAC